AGCCCACGCGGCTTCTTCCGGGTTTTTCTTAAAGATACAGTGTATCTTTTGGGCGTATATGCYAACAGAAAAGGAATACAGAACAAAATTGGCACAAAAATCAACTTGAGACATTCTACCCTTTATTCCATATCTGTTGGCTTTTAAGCCCAAACTAATACATTTTAACTTTAAAAACACACACATATATATATATATATGTATATACAAAATAGTGACATCTAGCAAACATTAATCATAGTCATCCTAACATTACATGCGGTTTTCACTCAAGATTAAATCTCCCTGAGGTACACAACGAGTTTCTCCGTCTTCTTTCATAATCCACCATGTGGACCCGGGGCCCTGAGCAAAAGCAACCCCACGGATGGGTTTGTCTTTGCTCGAGGTAGGATTAATCTACACACTCTTTCTTAAAAGACCTTTGAGATGTACTGTTGGGACTCTGTCTCCATCTACTGTGTGCAAGGGTTCAGACTGGGCAGGGCCTGCTCGGTTGGTGGAATCTTTGGTGTTTACTATCTAGGTAGCTTTTGTTAAGTGCTGTTCTCAGTTTTTGAAAGTACTTCTGCTCAGTGCTTTCAAGGTGGTTTTTAAGAGTCCGTTGCACTGTTTTACTTTGCTAGCAGCAGGTGCATGGTAAGGGATATGGTATACCTACTTAATGCCATGTTCTCTAGCTCAGGTGTTAATAAGGCTGTTCTTGAAATGAGTCCTATTGTCAGACTCAATTCTGTCTGGGGTACCATGCTTCTAAAGGACTTGATTTTCAAGGCCTAGGATGGTGCTACGGGCAGTGGCATGAGGTACAGGGTAGGTCTCTAACTATCCAGTGGTGGCTTTTACTATTGTGAGCACATAACGCTTGCCGTGACGGGACTGGGGCAGTGTGATGTAATCTATCTGCCAGGCTTTTTCGTACTTATACTTGTCTCATCTTCTTCTATACCACAGGGGCTTCACTCGTTTGGCCTGCTTGATGGCAGCGCATGTCTCACAGTCGTGGATAACCTGGGAGATACTGTCTATGGTTAGATTTACCCCGCGGTCTCGTGCTCACTTATAAGTGGCATCTCTGCCCTGGTGCCCCGAGGCATCATGGGCCCATCGAGCTAGGAACAACTTACTCTTGTGCTGCCAATTCAGGTCAATCTGGGACACTTTTATCTTTGCAGCTTGATCTACTTGCTCGTTGTTCCGGTGTTCTTCATTAGCCCGACTTTTGGGGACATGGGTATCTACATGGCGGACTTTCACGGGTAGCTTCTGCACCCGGGTAGCAATGTCTTTCTACTCTTCAGCAGCTTAAATCGGTTTTCTTCTACGTAGCCAATTGGCTTTTTTCTATCTGTTCAGCTATCTTCATAGGGCATTGGCTACTATTTATGAATCAGTGTAAAGGTAGAGTTTTGGCTACTTTTTCTTTTTAGCAATGTCTAAGGCTAGCTGGATGGCTTTGAGTTCGGCAAATTGACTTGATCTACTTTCTCTTTCTGTGGCCTGTGCTACTTGTCGTGTAGGGCTCTATACAGTTGCTTTCTACTTTCGGTTCATCCTGACGATGCGACAGGAACTATCAGTGAAGAGAGCGTAGCCTTTATCTTCTGCTGGCAGTTGGTTGTATAGTGGAGCTTTTTCAGCTCGGGTTACTTGCTCTTGTTCTTCTTTATCAGCAAGACCAAAGTTTTCACTTTCAGGCCAATTTGTAATTATTTCTAGGATCTCAGGGCGATTCAGGTTTCTTATACGGGCGCGCTGAGTAATGAGAGCGATTTATTTGCTCTAGGTAGCATCGGTGGCGTGGTGGGTAGAGGGGACTTTTGCTTTGAACATCCACTCCAGCACTGGTAATCGGGGTGCTAAGAGGAGTTGGGCTTTAGTGCTAATTACTTTTGAAGCAGYTTGGACTCTCTCATAGGCTGCCAAGATCTTTTTTTCTGTTGGGGTGTAGTTGGCTTCAGACTCTCGGTAGCTTCGGCTCCAGAATCTCAGTGGTCGGCTTCGGGTCTCACTAGGGACTTTCTGCTAAAGGCTCCAGGACAGACTATTGCTCTTAGCTGCAGAGTAGAGCACGTTCTTYACTTCTGGTCTTGTCTTGACTGGGCCGAGAGCTACTGCATGAGCGATTTCTTGCTTGATCTGGGCGAAGGCTTGCTGCTGTTCAGGGCTCCAGTGGAAATCATTCTTCTTGCGGGTCACCAAGTAGAGAGGGCTCAYGATCTGGTTGTATTCAGGGATGTGCATCTTCTAAAAGCCAATGGCACTTAGGAAAGCCTGTGTCTCTTTTTTGCTGGTCGGTGGAGACATTGACGTGATCTTATTGATGACCTCTGTAGGGATCTGACGCCGTCTATCTTGCCACTTCACTCTAAGAAACTGGATCTCTCGAGCAGGTCTCTTCACTTTGTTCTTTTTTATAGCAAAGCCGGCTTTCAGGAGAATCTGGATGATCTTCTCTTTTTTCTCAAATACTTCTGCTGCTGTATTCTCCTACACAATGATGTCATCGATATATTGGAGATGTTCTGGAGCCTCACCCTTTTCTAGTGCAGCTTGGATCAGCCTATGGCAGATGGTGGGATTGTGCTTCTACTCTTGGGGCAGCCGGTTCTAGGTGTACTGCACATCTCTCTAGGTGAAAGCAAACTGAGGCCTGCACTCTGCTGCCAGAGGAATGGAGAAGAAAGCATTTGCGATGTCAATGGTGGCGTACTACTTCGCTGCTTTGGACTCCAGCTCGTACTGGAGCTCCAGCATGTCTGGCACCGCAGCGCTCAGCGGTGGGGTCACTTCATTTACGCTACGATAGTCTACAGTTAATCTCTATTCTCTTTCAGATTTGCGTACAGGCYAGATGGGGCTGTTGAAGGGTGAGTGGGCTTTGCTGACTACTTCTTGGCTCTCTAGCTCACGGATTATCTTATGAATAGGAATTACAGCATCTCGGTTCGTTCTGTACTGCTGGCGGTGCACTGTTGATGTTGCAACTGGAACATGTTGGTCTTCTACTTTGAGGAGTCCAACTGCAGATGGATTTTTAGACAGCTCAGGCAAGGTGTTTAATTGCTTGATGCCATCTGTCTCTACAGCAGCTATTCTAAAAGCTTACTTGAATCTTTTTGGGTCTTTGAAATACCCACTTCGGAGGAAGTCTATTCTCAGGATGCATGGGGCCTCTGGACCAGTTACAATGGGATGCTTCTTCTACTCTTTTCCAGTCAGGCTCATTTCAGTTTCTACTAGAGTCAGGTCTTGCGATCTTCTTGTCACACTAGCAATAGAAACAGATTCTGTCCCAACATGTCGCGAAGGAAGGAGTGTGCACTGCGCACCAGTGTCAACCAAAGCCTTATATTTTTGTGGTTCTGCTGTGCCAGGCCAACGAATCTACACAGTCCAAAAGGCACGGTTCTCCTTTGCCTCTGCCTGGCCAGAGACAGGGCCCCTCTAGCACTGGTTGTCATTCTTTCTCTGGGCATACATTGCAGATGTTCTTTCTAGGGGGTTGGACATGTCATTCTGCCTTCCGTTATACTGGGCAGCTTGGTTGTGGGACACTGGGGCTACTTTTCTTCTGGGGAAGCTTCTTCTCTGAGCATTGCTATTCTTCAATTCATGCACCCGTGCTGCCAGGGCAGAGGTTGGTTTTCTATCTTACTTTCTCATGTTTTCTTCATGCTCACGCAGGAAGTACCAGAGGTTTGTTCGTGAAGTGTATTCTCYTTGTCTGGCAGGGGGACGTCTGCTCCTGGTGATAGGCCCTCTGGTCTGAACGGATGCAATTTGGAGAAGGCTTTCTTT